CCGGGCTCAGGGCTTTTTGGGTATATATAATACGGGGGCCTTAATACTTAGAATAGGGTTCCTTTAAAGGGGTCTATAAGGACTAACTTAAGGGGTTTAGTATAGGGGCCTTCATACTTAGAGTAGGGTTTTGGGGCCCATTCTGCTATAACTATAATAAGGAAGCCCCAAAATAGTATTGGTAATTTTCTAGGGCCCCATAGCATAGCGTTTGGAGTCTAGGGTGCTGTGACTATTATACGACAGTGTTAGTCTTATCACACATGCTGCAGATGGACGAGACCTTACAAGTTTCCTGCACACCTGATACTCCCCGGATTTGATAATGGTTTCGTGTGTTATGTTCGACATGTGTAGCGGGTTGCGTACACTGCATCGCTAAACCCTCAACCCAATGTCGTGGAGTTCTGAAGATTGTTGGGGCATTCGGGGTTCTGCCACAGTAGATTAGGGAGGTCAGCTCTAGAGTCGCTTTAATCATTCCGGTCAGCTTTTTGTGCTTTAAGGTTTTAGGGTTGAGGGTTGCAGGGCGTTTAGACTTCCGCGCTTAATTTCAGCTTTTAGGGCTTTACGGTTTTAGGGTTGCAGGGCTTGTAGACTTCAGGGCTTAAGTTTTGAGGATTCAATGTCGTTTTGGAGATCTTGCGGCTTGAAGCCTACATGTACCCTTGCCTTGTTTGGTCAATCCACTTCTCGGCTAGAGCGGCTGGGGGCGCTTCGTAGGGACACATAACCGTAAGGGTCCAAGTACCTAATAATCATATGCTCTCCCAACTATTAACCTACATAACTACTATTACTATCCTAAACCCAACTCACGCCTAGTTGCTGAGTTCATAAGCCCCAAAAAAGTGTACAGTTTCTGTTTTATAGTACAGTGAAAATACAGCGTAAGAACCCACTGTTTAAGAACCTGAGCCCCTACCCAAGGCGGAATTCACCAGATTCACGTTGCCTCAATATTAAGAACCTTAGGGTACCCTAGTTTTTTGGGTCAGGTTCGTATTTTTTGGGTGCTTTCCCTCACCAAGGAAATTTAGAATCGAAAACTAAATTTCCCAACCCTCCACATCAAGAAACCCTCTGCCCGAACATAATCAATGTATAACCCTTTGCCACCAAACCGCGGTAATTTAGAATTGAAAAATAAATTTTGCACACCAGCCTCCTGGCCCTGTGGTCCCAGGCCCAAGGCTCCGACTCCGACCCGCACCGACGGCATCAGGAAATTCAGAATCCAAAAGTAAATTTCCAGCCCTTCCTGCCGACCTCCCAAAACCCCTCGCCCACAACGGAAGGACACTGACCAACTCCAGAACAGCACCCCCTAGCGCAGTGGTTCCGCGCAGGCCCCAATGCAGAAAGCCTTTGTTTCAACTCCCGGTGGTGTCATGCGCGTTGCGGGCAAGCCGCAGCGCGTATTCCACCGAAACAGAGCCCCTTGCCACCAAACCGCAGTAATTGAGAATTGAAAAATAAATTTTGCACACCAGCCTCCTGGCCCTGTGGTCCCAGGCCCAAGGCTCCGACTCCGACCCGCGCCGACGGCATCAGGAAATTCAGAATCCAAAAGTAAATTTCCAGCCCTTCCTGCCGACCTCCCAAAACCCCTCGCCCACAACGGAAGGACACTGACCAACTCCAGAACAGCACCCCCTAGCGCAGTGGTTCCGCGCAGGCCCCAATGCAGAAAGCCTTTGTTTCAACTCCCGGTGGTGTCATGCGCGTTGCGGGCAAGCCGCAGCGCGTATTCCACCGAAACAGAGCCCCTTGCCACCAAACCGCAGTAATTGAGAATTGAAAAATAAATTTTGCACACCAGCCTCCTGGCCCTGTGGTCCCAGGCCCAAGGCTCCGACTCCGACCCGCGCCGACGGCATCAGGAAATTCAGAATCCAAAAGTAAATTTCCAGCCCTTCCTGCCGACCTCCCAAAACCCCTCGCCCACAACGGAAGGACACTGACCAACTCCAGAACAGCACCCCCTAGCGCAGTGGTTCCCCGCAGGCCCCAATGCAGAAAGCCTTTGTTTCAACTCCCGGTGGTGTCATGCGCGCTGCGGGCAAACCGCAGCGGTATTCCACCGAAACAGAGCCCCTTGCCACCAAACCGTTGAAATTTAGAATTGAAAAATAAATTTTCCATACCAGCCTCCTCCTGGCCCTGTGGTCCTTGCCCAAGCCACACCCCCGGCACCAGGAAAAAAAATTCTGGAGGGCCCTCGGCCCCGAATCCTTTCGACGAGCTGTGGAAATTTAGAATTGAAAACTAAATTTTCCAGACCCCCATGACCCACCCCCCCCACAAGGAAATTTAGAATCCAAAAGTAAATTTCCTGAGGGCCCTCCGTCAAGGCACCGGATAAGAACGTGGTTAAGAACCTGAGCCTACCCTAGCTGCTCGAACGGCAAAATCACATGTAATGGAACTTAAGAACCTTAGGGTACCCTACTCTCGCCGAACGGGGCCTTTATACAGGGTTTTCACTGTAGGTCATATTACCCCAAAAAGTGTAAAGTGTATCCACTCAGCTGCTAAGCTTCTGTAGCCCCATCTGAGCTCGAGGCGGACTGCTGGCTAACGCTGAGCGCGTTGGTGGCCTGGCATGGTGCTTTCGGGTTTAGTGCAGCGCGTTTAGGTCGTTTACGAAATTTTGGGGGTTTAGTGAGTTTAGGGTTTGGGGTTTAGGTGCTTTCGGGTTTAGCGGTTTATGGTTAAGAGACGGGTCTACTTCTTCAAACCCGGCGCAAGCCGTGTCCAGACCGTACCGTCAATCTCCACTCCGGCCTCATGTTTCCACCAAGAAAAGCAGATCGTGGAACCACCTTCTGACTGTTCATGGGCCACATCACCCGTTCGTGGGCGATAGTATATGCACTTATTAGGTACTTGGACCCTTGGGGTTACCTCTCCATCTTGCAGGCATCATAGGTTCAGGGCTTTGGGGTTTTAGGGCTTGGATTTTTCATTTTATGGGGTATAGCCCACTTACGACCGAGTGGAAGCTTACAGTATGATAAACTAACAACCTCATGACCCTATAAATGTTGCGCACGAACATGACAAAGGTACAGATATTACGTCGCTCTACCAAGGGAGACTTAGCTGCGAAGAGCATCTACGCAAACTAGCGGATCTTGCTTCAACAGGAGCAAGCTAAATGCTCGCAGCCGAAGCCCTACAGAGCAAGCCCCAAAGTCAACAAACCCGGAACTGAAAACATCAAGACATAAACTCACACCCTGTGCGCTACGCCCCCAAACCCTGTAAGCCGTAAGCCCAAAGCCCACTACTGAAAACTCTAAGCCCTGAGCTATGAACCCTGAAGCCCTACCCAAAGGCTCCATCGTAGTGGCTGTAGGATTCTATTTCTGAACCACAAAAACGAACTACTAAGGAGTCTCTAGGTATGGGCCCTAAGCCCTAAACCCTGAACCCTAAACCCTAATCCCTAAACCGCTAAACTCTAAACCCCTAAACTCTATACTCCAAACACTAACCCCTGAACCCTATGCCCTAATCCCTAAACCCCTAAATCCTAAACCCCTAACCCCCTCCAGCCCTAAAGCCGAAACACGAAGCCCTACAACCGAAACACGAAGCCCCCTAAACCCCCTAACCCCCTAAACCCTAAACCCCTAAACCCTAAAACCCTAAACAGGAAGCCCTAAACCCATAAACCCTAAAACCCTAAACGCGAAGCCCGGTGGGCCTTGAGGTTCATGTTGCCGCTGTCGCGACCCCGCCCGTAGAGGCTGCTGGTGCCCGCGAAATCCATGCCCTTAGAGAGAGGATCATGGGACTTAGTAAGTAGGTTATAACTGGGGTTATAAGTCCCCTAAGTGGGGTTATCCTAATTATAACCTACTTATAACCTTACTTACTAAGTCCCATGAGCCTTCAAGTAGAGAGATTTTGGGCTTAGGGGTCTAAGGGTTTAGGGCTTTTAGGAGTTTAGAGGTTTAGGGCTTAGGGGTTCGGGTAAAGGAGTTTCGTGCTCAGGGGTTTAAGTGCGCAAGGCGTAAGGGTTTAAAATTTATGAGCCAAGGGTTAGAGGGGACGAAGTAGACTTTAAAGTTTACGTTTTGAGGTTTAGTGGTTTAGGGTTGGTGGTAAGAGAGCGCGTTGCAGCGCCAGCAAAAACACAAGGAGCAAGCCGTAACTGAAAATGCTTCCGGCGTCAACAGAAAACCCTCACTTCCGACTAAATGCAGCATGCAAGAATGCTGGAATGCTCTTTGTTTTCGCTCGCCACGCCCCAGCGTAGATCACATCATCACCTCGGCTTGGCTGAAGCATAGGCATTTTTATCAAAGGACATCAATTCTGGAGATTATGAGGTCGCAGAGCCTAAAAGCGATGTCTTTTGCTGTTGCCCAGAGCAAGCTGTCAAGCCCAAACCAAAAGACATCAGTTTTGGAGCTCTTCAGGCCTTAGGGGACGAAAGCCACGTCCTTTGCTTTTGCTTGAAACCTTCCCCCAACCCTCAAAGGACATCAATTCTGGAGATTATGAGGTCGCAGAGCCTGAAAGCGATGTCTTTTGCTTTTGCCAAGAGCAAGCTGTCAAGCCCAAACCAAAAGACATCAGTTTTGGAGCTCTTCAGGCCTTAGGGGACGAAAGCCACGTCCTTTGCTTGAAACCCTCCCCCAACCCCCAAAGTTGTCCCAAAGAGCAAATGAGGTGTGCTTGGGGGCACAGGAAAAAAATCGAGAACGTCTCTCTGCAGCCGACTGGCTTCACTGCGAGACCCGCTGCCCCACTCACGCTCGGCGGAAGCGTAAACTTTCTCAGCCAGGCTATCGTTCTGTTCTGCCTATGTGCTTCTGCCTCTTCCCGATTTCGCTGCAGCAGCCCAGACCTCAACCCCGTCACAAGCCGCAAGTCGGACAGGCCCACGCCAGTCCTGCTGGCATGGGTCGCAAAGGTCGAAGCATCTGTGAACAAGCACGAACCATACTCTTCGAATGCTGTGTGGAGGACTGCAATCGCGGACTTGCTCAGATGCATCCGGGTTGGAGCACTGTCTTCGACATCTTTGAGCAGAACTGTCTTTCCGTCAGAGGCTGCGCCTCAGTCTGTTGACCCAGGAGGTCATACAACTTGCAAGCGTGCCCATGAGGCACTGCCACTGGCTTGCCCACCGCCATGGCCAAAAACGTCTTGTTGGCCATGTCCAAATGCTGAATTGAAATGCCTTGACGGACTTTGCTCTTGGCAATAATGGTGTGAATGCTGGGAAAGTAGGTCTGCAACCCTCCCGGGCGTCGAATCGTTTGACCGTCAGCCAACATCCAAGGGTCCGGCGTCTGTGGTCGTTGCAAATGAAGCCCGCCAGGAGTTGCCATCAAAGTCCAAACTAGGGGCATGAGTTCTTTGACAACAGTCACCCGGAAGCGGCGCTAACCAAATTTTGGACCCCGGTCCTCACACCCTTGTCGCACTTGGCAAGCTCCGCCGTCAGTGGCTGGGACCAAATCCGCACAGTTCGCCTGAGCGCCTGGATGAGTGGGTGCGGACTTCCCGAGGTGCCAAATGACGCTTCAGGCAGCGCCAGGCTTGCTCCGCCGTCTGTTGCGACGCAGGAAGTCCTGGCAAGGATCTCCCTGCCACCTGGAACAGCTCCTCCTTGATGTAGCGTTGAAAGAAGTAATTCGCAAACTGCGGGTCTGGCCAGTGCTCCATTCTCCTTCGCGTGACCTTCCAAAAGAGGTGAAAGGAGAGCATGGTCGGTAAAAACATGCTCTCGGAGACAAAGCGGAGGAAAACGCCAATGGGGCGCGAAGTCAGGTGAGGCGGAATGGCACGTTCTGGGCCCTGCTCAATGGGGAGCGGCTGCTCAGCCGCCACACCACGCCGTCGCCCGCCGCCCCCTTGTCCACGTCCCCGAGCAGCCCTGCTTCGCCGTCTCCGTTGCACACCGCGAGCCTGCGCAGTGCCGCTGTTGTGGTTGCGCCTTATGGCACGTCTGGCATGCTCAATCCCTTGCCGCAGTCGGCAGCCTGGTAGGCTGGCTCGAACGATTGCGGGAAAGCCTGGAAACCAGTCTGTGTGCAGCTGCTTCGGTGGCGCCATGCCACGTCTGTGAAGCTCTTCACGAAAAACGTCCACGACCTCCTGGTACGCCTGCAAGTGCTGCAGAAACAAAAAGCCGTCCGCCAGATTCGAGCTCCGAAACCCGCCAAAGGACATCAGTTTTTCGAGCTTAGCAGGTCTCAAAGCACTTAAGCGATGTCCTTTGCTTTTTGCTTCCGCCCGCAAACCCCCTCCTTAACCCCATAAACCTTGCATTTGCGGCAAAACGCTTGGCTTGTGAACATGGGCAACCTGCTTGGAAACGGATCGCTGCCTCGTTGTCTTCGTTGCCCGGCCACATGGCCAGGATAAGTGGCCAGAAAGACCTTCGCCACCTGCGTTAATGAATCTGACACCTAGTCCATTAGGGCACAGGGCTTGCATACGAGGAACTACAAGATGCCTAGGCAGGTATAAGGGTATTGAGAATTGAAACTGCGACCGGTGGATTTTGAAGTTGACGGCTTATCCATGAGGCCACAATGACTTGGAGCTCAAACTTACAAAAGAATACACTCCCTCTATCTTGCACAGCCCCGCCTTCCTCCCAGGCATCTGTGCACTATATCACTGACAGCATGATGACATGGTTGGCCATCCTCTTGATCTTATAAGTTGCGTCGGTTGTGGCAGCCCAAGCCTGCTACGACTGGCAACAGAAACCGATGAACCGTACCCAAAAGCCAAAACCTACCAAGTCAAGCCAGGTCGCCACATCCAGCAGGGGTTCTGGAAGAAGTTCCTCTAGCTTCTCCCAAAACGGACGCACCAGCAGGACCCACCGCACCTCTGGGCGGATTTCATATCGCGCAACACGAAGATCAGCTTCGTAGTCATTGCTGCTTGCAACAGCCCAAGCCTCGAACTCAGGAATGCTGGCTAGCCACTCCGACGTGTTCGCTCCAAACTGTCGCCTTCGCTGTCTCAAGCTGGCAGCGATGTGCTTTGGCTCAATCAAGCGTTTCAGCTGGGCCGCCACGTTGGTAGGGGTGCAGGGCACGTTGCGTGCTAGCAACTGGTCGGCAATCTGCAGAACATCCTCGCGGTCCTGGTGAGTCGGACCAGTACCACAAGCCACTGTTGGACGTAGCACACGCTCTTTTCCCGAGCATGTGCCACTGGTCCAAACCGAAAGAATGTAGGTTCGCAGATTCTCTGCCTGGCCACCATGGAACTTAAAGTGACGGCCCTTGCCTGCATGGCAATCGGTGTGCTTTACACACTTCCCAACCAAGACATAGCCTTTGGACGGCCATTGGGGCGATCGGAAGACGCCAAGTTTTCGACCCCTGTCTTTGGCCCAACGGAAGACGCTAGTCCTCAAAACATCCAGGGGATCGTCTTCATCTGCTGCTGGCAACGGCAGAGGATATTCTTCCAAGAGTGTGTACTGAAACCTCGGCCGTGTGATAGACGGCGGCCCAACAACGTCCACGGCTCGTAAACACAACGAACGCACAACATCACAACTTTTGGCCACTGAAGCTCTCTCAAACTGTTTGTTGCTTGCCCTATTGCCCTATTTGGTAAGTTTGACACCCCCCCTCTGCAGCAAACAGCAACAAGCAAGGCATGCGTGTCTCAAGCTGCGAGCGAAGAATGAAGCAGGCATCCATAAACATGGCGTCGCACCCGGGTCGAACTCGTCAAAAACTGAAGACATGTCCTTTGAATGAAAAGCGCTCGCAGTATCTGCCGACCCTCGTTTCAAATCCTACTGTCTATTCTTTTGAAGGTCTTGTAGAGGGAATTTAAATGACAAGCTGCAACAGGCGTCCTCCCCCCCCCTCCCCCCCCCAATGCTGTTTTGCCCTTCAAGCCCTGTGTGCTACCAAAACTGGCGTCCTTTGCTTCCTTTCCCCCCCCCCAAAGGACAGCTGTTTTGCCCTTCAAGCCCTGTGTGCTACCACAACTGGCGTCCTTTGCTTAAACCAGAAACCCCCCCGCCTCCAGAGCAGCGGCCAGAGCCCGAAGCGGCTCTCTAGGAGAGGAGCAGCACGCCAGAGCCAAAACACTGGCAGTTAGTCGGACATGTGTTTGCCAATGTTGTTGATGTTTTTTAGTTGTTGTTGAACTTTTGTCATTGTTGTGTCTTGGTCAGACCCTTTGGTGGTAACACATCTTATTATGGAGGTTTCACAGCAAGAGCTTCGCATACTTTCAGGGATTGTCACATTAGGCTTTAAGAACTGGTCCTCCTAGGTCCTTGGTCTATGTTACAGATTGTATGCACCTGTCGTGGGGTTGTGCTGGCACCGTACGACGATTACCGACATATTCGGGATGAGGGCGTGGTGAGGACTGAAGTGGTTCGTGTGACAGCCCCCAACCCTAAACCCTCAACTCCGAGTTGCAAAGATTTTCCGAAACAAAACCCAGCTCTGTGTTCTTCTCTTTCTTAAGAATACATTAACATAATACATTAAACTAATACATTAACCTTCGGAAGATTGTTAAAAACATTTCCGTGGCCAGCTCGCCGACCACTTGCTCCAGCGCTTTGTGAGCCTTCGCTCCTGCTGTTTCGCTCCAACCTGGTCCTTCACCCTAAGGGTCCAAAGGACCTAACAATTAGGTGCTCGGTTGTAGGAAAGTAGCTATGTAGGTTACTATTTTAGAGAGTATATGATAGTTAGGTACTTGGACCCTTAGGGTCAGCTCCTTGAAGCCGGCTGCCGTACCATGAGGGCCTTACTTAATAATTACCTCTACTATTCTAGGGGTTCCTTATTATAATCATAGTATAATAGGCCCCCAACCCTAGTCTAATTACTAAGGCCCTTACATATTATCGCTATAATAACCCTTATACACCCCTTTAAGGAACCCAATTCTAATTACTAAAGGCCCCTATATTACTCTCCAGCCAAGCCATGTCCTTCTGCAGCTTTGTCTCGAAGAGCAGGAGTTTCTTCGCCACGTTGGTGTCGTTTGGTCCCAATTCCCTAAACCCCTAAACCCTAAACCCCTAAACCCTAAGACCTTGGTCCATAAAAATTCCAAACCTAATGCGTGGAAAGCGAAGTCACTCCGCACACGTCGCAGTCGCGAGCTTTATAGGGCTCGTTGACCTTAAACCCCAAACCCTAAACCCTTTGGCGCTCTGCTTCGTGGTGGACATCAACATACGTTGGTTCATGGTTTCGTCCGTCTGAAACTGCATGAAACCCGTGACCCTAAATGGCTTCAAGAATTTTCATCGAGACCACAGCCTCTTCAGTGTCCACCAGTGGGTGGGCCATACCTTCATCACCATTAGCCCCAGCACACCTAGAGAACAAGTTGCATTGTACTGACATGCATACTAACTAGAATCATTAAGTTTAAAGTCATGTTGTACTTCGAATACGGCTAGATGAAATACTGCACGCTCAAGCGCTTCTTGACATACACACGCATGAAGCGGGCTTGGAATTCAGAACGAGGGGTGACAGCTGCACAACACAGTGAGGCCAATACCCTCAATCAAAAAAGATACCTCGAACAAACAAATTCATCCCCATATAAATTGGGGTATATGCTTTGCTACGGAGCATGGGTATTTTTTGGGAACGCTCGCATATAGAGTTCGGGATTGAAATACTTACGGTTTAGGCCATTGCCCAGACTCTAATATCCCTCAGTTTAGGGATCCTACTATAACCTACAGCATATTCCTTAATTAACCGTAATTAAGGGGTCTTGGAGTCTCCGGGAACCTTGAAGAGCGACTGCTGAGGCTTAAATTCTCAACCCTAAAGCAAGGAAGAGCGACTGAGCCGACCACAGCACCTTTGATGTACCAAAGCCGCTTCTCGGGCGGCACGTCACCTCCCCGTGCAAAGTTCGGTTCGGGCATAGGCCAAGGAAAGGTCTTGATATAGGGGGCCTTCGTCGCTAGAGTACGGTGTGGGGGTCTGTTGCAATATCGTATAAGAAACACAACAAGGAATGATGTTGGCAATTATCTGGGTTTCTATATCTACGCATCGCATTATACTCTACTAAACTCGGCATCAGGCTTGTCTTAGGGATGAAGAATAAAAGACACTGGTTCCTCAACCCTAAACCACTTGTTCGAAGATCGAAACCTCTCAGGTTTGGCAATTTTTAGTCCTACTTGGAAGATCATGGCTGTTAGTAAGTAGGGATGTAAGTACCTTAATCGGGGTTTTAAGGAAATCCAAATAGAGTTGTCCTAATAATAACCTGTCACCAAGTCCCATGATCCCTTAAGTGTCGATTCGACCACACCCAACATAATTATGGTTAGGGTCCCATATTCAACACTTGGGGAAGATAAACCAGCCCGTCCCATATCGGCACATATTCCCAAACCAAACCCCCGATCCCGACACCAAAACCTATGGAGGCGACCTTAGGCAGTCCGAAACTCCCCCAACCCAGCACCACCCTAATCTTGGGGCCTTTGTGACGAAGGAGGGTCGTGGGTGTGGTATGAAGCTACGTTGCGGTTTGGGGTTTAAAACTTCAAGAGCGCCTAGATCTTCGATGGAAAGGCTGGTGTTCAGCCAGTCCGGCCGTTTCCTGAGACTCTAAGCCCAATAAGGCGTAGGACTGAAAAGCCCTAAAGCCTCAAGCCTAAACCCAGAGCCGTAAACCCTATAAACCCCTACACCCTGAGCCTCAACTTAAGGTTTTTTAAAAAACCTATACTTTTTTCTAAAAAAAAACATAACAGCCCGAGGCCCTGAATCTCTGAACCCTTGCAGGCACTGCAGTTGTTTGAACTTTCAGGAGATTTGGGTTCCAAACCCCAGTTTCGGTGTAGGGTTTAGAGATTAGGGTTTAGGGTTTAGAGATTAGGGTTCAGGGTTTAGAGATTAGGGCTTAGGGTTTAGAGACTAGGGTTTAGGGCTCAGGGCTTAGGGTTTCTGTCCTCGTGCTTGAACTATCCCACCGAGACTCGACCCCTCAGCCGTGAGCTCTAAACCCACTCGAAACTCGAAAGGATCGAGATCGACCTTCTACCTAACACTCTCAATCCTGCACCCCCAGTATGGGAGTTTCCGAAAATTAAGGGTGCCGTATTTGGGGGTCCTTGTAATAAGGATCCTACTATTTCGGGTACTATATTGGGGTCCCCTATTGTCGGAAACTCCCATATAAAGAGAGTTCGGGTCATCCCAGGTGGCCTGGGACGCCATTGAAGCATCCATAAGAGGGGACTCTCTTCGGGTAGGCCTGCGACTTTCGGAAACTTTCGGGTGCTTTGGCTCAGAACTGATTATACTATAACTATAATAAGGAACCCTCCCCAAAATGGTATGGGTAATTATTTTATACTAAGGACCCCCCCCCCAAAAAAAAGAGTATAGGTAACAATTCAGGCCCCTGTTAGAGTTTAGGGCTTCGGGGTGTTCGGGCTCGCGGATCTTCGGCTAGCATTTATGTCCTGCGGTGACGGCGCCTTAGTGGGTTAATCAAGCCCCGGTTTAGGGCTTAGGGTTTAGGGGGTTGGGGTTTAGGGTTTAGGGCTTAGGGTTTAGGGGGTTAGGGCTTAGGGTTTAGGGTTTAGAGGGTTAGGGCTTAGGGGCTTAGGGGTTTAGGGGTTTAGGGTTTAGGGAGATGCATGCCTCCAACTGTTTGTGGACAAGGGAACTTAAACAACACACCTTAAAATCCCAAACATCCAAACCTTGAATCGGAGAATCAGGGCATGGATCGAGTTAGAAGAGGGCTTGGGCGTATATGCACAACCCTGGGGCATACGATTTCTAACCCATATTAATCCGCGACGCATGCTAGGATGCCGAACTTGACTAAACCATGCCGCCTGAACCTCATGATTCTGACTCATGATGATAAGTTGCAGCATGGGCTTGGGCTTGAAGCTGCAGGTTTTTGGGTTTTGCTAAATGTCAAGCCACAGATGGCGACAAACGAAAACGAGACCTGTTCTCTTGGCCGAATACCAGTGCAAGTGGACTGTTAATGCAACGGTGAAGACAATCCCTAATGCTTGAATACCACTTTTTACACCCGAAGGCCCCAACCCAAAGACGTAAACATGTATAATGCCGTAGTGCAAGTAGAAAAGTAAACCCTAAACCACACACAAGCACAACAATCAAATTGTAGAGCAATAATACTCAGCCCTAAGCGTGCCTCACCAGCGGAGTTGCCGTGGGTTGTCGGTAAACCGGGTCCCTCCAGCAGAAGAAGGGTTCATTTTTGTGTGATGCAGGGGGCTTCATAACTCGAAAACAGCAAACTGATTCTTGAAATTGTTAAGAGATTTTTCTGTGGTTCTATTTAGGGGGCCTAATGAATACAATAGAGTCTTGGGAGGAGATAGAGACAGTCTGTTTGGACTACCGGGGTATTATAGAAAAAACATCTAACAAATGGGGTCTTGCAGCACCTTACACTATAGTTGCAAAAGAACGCTAAATGACAAGATTGCTATGTTTTTGAGGCCCTAGTGTAACAACCCCTCTATGCAATTCTAAACCATGAAGGACTCGAAACTGTGTAAGCAAGAGGGGAGGCACTAACGATCGCGGTGCAGGAAAGAAAACGTATCCTCGCGTTTGCTTTAACCCTGAGTTTAGGGTTTGTGTTTTTTGTTGGGGCGGGGGAGCGGGGGCTCCTTTTTCCATCTGCAACGCACAGGGTTTATGGGTTTAGGCCTCATGGCTTGGGGTTCGGCCTTGCAGGCATTCTGCAGCGCAGGGTTTATGAAGCCCTCGAGATCTGCGAACGGTCAAGCCACACTTCCCAAGTCGTAAAGCCTGGATATGAAACCAAAACAGCCTACTTAGAACGCAACCTGGACGCTTAGATGTAGGGATATGTACGGAGTAGGACGACTACTTAAAGGATCATGGGACTTAGTGACAAGGGTTACTATCAGGGTATCTATGCTTATAACCCCAATTATGGTACTTATTACTAAGTCCCATGATCCTCCAAGTAGGGCTTGAGGGTGTGGAGTGGCGACCCCAAACTCCTGCAAAGGCATGATGCCTGGTGCCACGGCACGCCGTACGCATGACGTGACCTCCGTCAAGGCTTAGCTTCACAACTGCTCCGCATGATTCTCGGAATGAAACTTAACAGCCGTAAAGGCATGGGTTCGGCTGCGATTCGGGATGGATACATATCTCACTCCGGCAAGACATGTAGGGCCGTCTTTCGGGTCCAGTATGTTGGCCTACACACCAAACTCATTGGGATCCCGTTCAGGAAGTAGCTTCAACTAACGGTGCACCCTCGCCTCTCTCGAAAGGCGCGACCACTAGAACAGCATGATGGTACGTCTTGTTGCCGGGCACAAACTGCGCCGCCTTCATCTTCAGCATCTCCCCCCGACGGGCATACGTGGAGAAGCATGCTTCGTTGTACAGGGCCATCTCGCGGAAACCACCATGGATCATGAGCGCAGTGATCGTGCTCTTCTAGAACTCCAACATCGGCAGCCGCGCTTCTACGCAGCAAGTTTGGAATTTCCCAAAGGCTACAGTGCAGAGCGAATTTAGTGTCGGATCGCTAGGCAGCATCAAGACTACTTGGAGGATCATGGGACATAGTAAGGTCATTATAAGTACCCTAATTGGGGCTATAAGTATAGTTACCCTAATAATATCCCTAGATATTAAGTCCCAGGATCCTTTAAGTAAGGTGGCTGAGCCGGCATCATCCAGACCTCACTGGAGCTTAGCTCAGGGTTTTGCAGCAGGCATTGCTTGGCATCACCAGCTGCTGGGTGAGCCAATGGTGGGCCTTGAATCGTTGAGAGATTCTGGACTATGATGAAGCCGATGGACTTCGAATTTCGAGCTTGGTGTTCAGTTCAAGTGCAGATACTGTAAAATAGACTTAGGCCTAAACATCGTCAGGTGAGCAAAGTCGACGGCCGCAGTGCCTGGCATGAACTCGTAGTGTATACTTTGGACTTAAAGCAATCCCTACTTAGGGGCCAAAGTCTGGGTACATGGACCCTTCGGGTTCTTATGCTTGCAGAATTAAAGACGTGCAAATTGGCGCCGGTCCGTGATAACTTCAGTCAAGCTCCTTGCAACAAGATTCAACAGAAACCTATATATAAATACCCCGAATTCGACGCTGAAGGCCACAGGGCCCCCCAAACCCTCCGACGATCCAAAACCATAAGAGAGGGATCGTCATAACTGGAATAGGGTTTTGGGGCATGTATTGTGGAATGCTTATAATAATAAGGAACCCTAGTGGTCGGTAATGGTACTAACTCAAGCAGCCATATGGGTGGTTGTCAAAAATTAGGGTCCCTGTTTACGTCCCTAACATAACATGGCACCTAATATTTAGGGTAATCACCCAGAAAGGGGCCAACATTTTGACAGCTACCCATAGTGAACTGCAAGATGGAAGGCCTGAACCCGAGGCTCCGGCATGCTGGCGGAGGGAGATGCTTGCCCTCTGGGTGCTACGCTGGCTGCTGACCCCTCCAGGCCCCCTTTAGGGAACTTGTAGCGCTAAGAGCAACAATGATGTTCAAACCCTAAACCCTAAGCATCATCATCGTCAAAAGTCGTGGCACGCAGCCATTGCCGTTGCTGTTGACATTGCGGGCGCTGCTGTCGCCTGTCGGTTGCAGGTTTACAGGTTATTCCCGACATGCTCCAACGCCTGAGCCATAGGCTATCATTGACGAGCTTAGGGTCTAGGACTGTAAGGCAGGTTCAGTGATGCTGGGATGAGGAGGAAATGGACTCCCTTGTACTAGAAGCCTTGATGATCAGAACAGGGCTTTGGGTTCCTGTAGCATATGACTTTAATAAGAACCAAGATGAATAACATAGGTAATTATTTAGGCTTCTACATTAGTGAAAGCCCTAGTACCATGGTGAGGAACGG